GCGGAAAGGAACCTGAGCAAGCAAGCAAGCGGAGGGGAGCAACAGTAAGGTAGGTGCAGCAGCAGCAGCAGCAGCTCAACACTATGGAAATCTGCTGGGTTTGGCCGGATTGGACCGTGGTGGCACTGGGATAACGATTTGATGCCGGCCGGTATCGACGGTATTGGTCCAGGGCTGACCGTGGGGTTACACTGCCTGCTGACCCTTGTGGGGGAATGGGCAATGAAGATAGGTTCACGTGTCGAATTGTTCACTTTATTCCACTGGACCACTGGACAACTATCTCTTGCCGCCTCATCTTTTCCACTCGCTGTTGCAGTTTTTGGAAGATGCAGGACGTGGGTGATGAGCGGGCCAGCTGCTGCCAAGCGGCTACGTAATGGATGTACCTCAGCCCACATTCAGAGGTATCTATCTTCCCCAACACAAACTGGCAGGATGAGGAGTGGGATAACAGTACCTGCGGAACTAAGCCTGTAAGGTACATAGGTACGAATCAGTTGACCTTTTTATACACACTATTTCCTGCAATGTCATATGTCCTTTCAATGTTACCATCTCCAGCAGTATCTTTCTCTGCCACGGGCATCAGCTCTCGCTAACAATGGCAAGGATTTGTGTGAAATGATTGAAAACGTCCATCAGCCGATACCGAGCTACCTTGCTCTCTGGCTGTAATCTTGAACTGTGTGCTCGTCTTTTTCCCATGTGAAAGAGAGCCACTCCACTTTTGCTGTCGTTGTTGAGGGTTTGATTGAACAGCGACAGGGCCGACAGGGCACGAATCGGGGGGCCGCAGTCTGCGGGCACTCTGAATCTGCAGCATCCAAATCTTTGGCGGAATACGGCCTCTTTTGGGCCTCGCAATTCCGATCCATCACTTTTCGTATCCGTGTTCCAATGCCGCTCAACCATTCGCTCCGAGCTCTCATCCCAAGCCCAGGCAGTTCCTTTTGTCTGCCTGAGAAAAAACCCCTCGTTGAACCAGAAGCCTATGGAGACCTTTCACTAATTCAATAGAGTCGCAGCCAGGATACATGACTATTGTCTACACCTCTAATAAGAGAGATCCTTTCTGTCATTAGATGCTCGTACGAGTTCCCTGTCATGTTGGGTGTGGTTGCTTCTTAGAAGGCAATTGAATGGCACATATTCTAGACTCAACTCACAACCCAAGTAGCAGCCTAGGACATGGTTTGCGGAAACTCACAATAAATCCTACCACAGACCGCTGATACTACCAGAATGCTTCAGATGCCAGAGAAGGGAAGAAACTTTTTAGTTAAAGCTGAGGTGTAAGATGCATGCTTGAACCAAGATGACAGGTCATCCCGATATATTGCCTTCGCGCTTGTTCCTATGGGCAATATAGGCGCAATGGTATAGATGCTATCTCGTAAATCATTTGAGACAAAAGCAGTGTTCATGAAGTATATCGAGAACATTTTTCTAGCTCCTCAGAAATTCGATAGAATAAAGCCGCAATCTACTCGACTTACAGTGAAGCACTCTGAACATAAGATTAGGTCGTTTGGGTGGACTAATTTTGCAGACAGAAACTCTGAAAAACAGAGACAACCAGCAATAAAATCAGATTCCAAAAGAAGAGGTCAATACCACAACGGCCCATTTACTTTTGAGACATAGCAGTTGGTGGCATTCCAGGGCACATTTTCGGCCCAGAAGCAAGGAACCTCAGGGTTTCTGTCAACCTGGTAGATGACGAGCAGCTCGCAGCCAGAGTGCGATAGCCAACCACTTGATGCCCCTAACGCATCACTTACAGCAGAAATTCAGCGAGCCAACGTCATTTTGCAGTGATGGAGGGGTATTCGAGCAGTGGAGTGCTTCCGCTGAAGTGTGATTGGGAACACCTGGAGGTCCACAGGTGTCCCTCCTGATCCGGGTTGCTTCGGGCCGAGACTAGCCCGCTGTCTAGGGCTGCCACTTACCGGTGCCAGCTGGCTGAGCTGGTAAGGGAGGTGCGAGACGGAGCTTGTGGTCATCCAATGCCCCTCGAAATTTTTAGCGTGACAGGGGTCGTTCATTGTCCCTCTCTGAGCTTCACAGTTGAGTCACAACCGTTTGCGCACAATTTCCAATTCTCCATTCAGTCCACGCCCGAAGCTAGACCAACGGCCATTGATCGGTACATCCACATTGTGCAGCGACTGAAGACAACCAGATTGCCATTTCGGAATATCTTGCGACTTCAGTAACTCCCATCGATCAATCCCGAAAAGTCTTTGCGACGACTCACTCCCACCCCTCCCAATATCGGGCCTTGATTTCGGCGACAGCACCCACCACCGAAAATGGCTACCGTGAAGCCCAGCACGGGGGACCTCGAACGGTACCTCAAAACCCTGAAGGGTAAGCCGTTGGAAGCGTCAATTGACAGTCTCATCTCGTACGTATCTTGCCGGCCGTTTGATCCTTTTCTACCCCTGCCTCGGCCGCGCTAATCCTTGAATCCGCCAGTCTCCTGAAAAGACGACAGATCCAGGGCTCCGAGCTCTGCGCTGTCGCGACCGCACATATTCTCCTTCAGGTTGTGGCCAAGTCGAAATGGAACGACGTCGACTCGTTGCTGGAGAAGGTGCAGCAGATCGGATTGCGCCTCATCGCCGCACAGCCCAAGGAATTGGTCGTTGGCAACATCGTTAGACGCGTGTTGAGCCTGATCCGAGACGAGGCTGCCGAGGACCGAAATGAAGACTTTAGTGAGACTGCCACAGAAGTTGGAGGAACCCCGACGACAGCAGTGCCAGACCCCTCCAAGCTGGAGCACCAATGGCCCCCCTCTACATATACCAAGCAGGATGCCGGTTCAGACTACATCACGAGCGGCCCAAGACCCGTTCGCCCCGGCTTCCTCACGTCCGCGAGCTCTTTCCACGTCTCAAAGTCTCTCTTTTCCCTTCTCGAGGCGTCACCCCCAGTGGACACTGCTGGCATCATGGCCGGATCGCCGTTTGGCAAGGACTCTGGCGCTTCAACACCCCTTCGTGGACAGTCGACTAGGGTGCACGCTCTGAGATCAGAAGTCTGCGAGGGTATCGAGGAGCTCAAGGACGAGATCGGCCAGGTGGACGACCAGATTGCAGGAGCTGCGGATGTTCAGATTCACCCCGGAGACTATGTGTTGGTGCACCAGCCTTCAGCCACGGTCCAGAAGTTCATCCTACGCGCTGCAACAAGAAGAAAGTTCACCCTGTTCATCGCTGCCGGAACGGCTGCCTGCTCCGGTGGGGAGCCGCCATATGCATCTTTCAGGAAGAAGCTTGCAGCAGCGGGCATCAGTGCGATCAACATCCTCAACAGCGGTCTGATGGCCTACATGCCCCGGATTAACAAGGTGATTCTGGGAGCAAGAGCCGTCCTGGCCAACGGCGGCATCCTGACAGATGCAGGCGCTGGTGTGATTGCACGCGCAGCCAAGGAGCAGGGCAACCCGGTGATTATCCTCAGCGGTGTCTACAAGCTCTGCCCAGAGAGCTACTTTGACGAAGAGAGCCTCGTAGAATGGGGAAGCTCTATGGGCCATGTCAGCTTCGCAGACGGAGCCATGGTCAACGGTGTCGACGTTCGCAGCGCAGTTAGTGAATTTGTGCCTCCCGAACTGCTCGACACCTACATTACCAATCTGTAAGTCCATGATCCCGAACATGACGGCGTTGAGCCACAACTGACATGCTACACAGTGGCGCACACTCGCGGAACCATCTGTCCACTATCATCGCGGATCACTACAAGCCAGAGGATGTTGATTTCCATCTCTGGAGCACGGAGGCTGACCGATGAGTGCTGCCTCTGAAGTATGTCTCTATGGGAAACCGTGGCACGTTTAACGTTGCAGGGGACGCGACAGCGGCGTCCGCGGCCGTGGGGATGATTCGTGGCCCGAAGACGAAAGCGAACTTTCAGCCCTGGCCCAGCTATTGAATGATGATACCAGGCGCATGCATAGCCTGGGTTCCGTACAAGTATACTAATTCGCGGTTCAATCCTGGGCCCCTTCTCTCTCTAGGGCTAGGGTGAGTTGGTTCGGCAGCACGGCGTTCAGTTTGGAGGGGTAACACAAGCTCGAGAGGTCGCGGCAGCGTTTCCAACGGCATGGTAGAGAGACCCACTGGATTGCAGGCTTATGTGGCTTGATGTGGAGGGATTACACTGATGGCGTATTGCTGCCTCCGAAGAGGCCGCGTCAGCGCGTTGCAGCACAGAGAGGCTTCTCGAAGAAAAGTGACTGCGGGCTGCTCTTATCCAGGGTTCAATTTAGCGGTGGCTTTTTATTTCATTGGGGGAGGGGAAACCTTGAACAATCGGGGATTGCGAACAAACGCGTGCCCCTCGCAACTTTTGGCTGCGCCGTGGACCGCAGGGGTCGCCCTCAAACAAGGTTGATGCTTATCTTCACCTGGCGTGGGCTCGGCCGCACCGCTTGGGCTCCCGAGGGGTGTGGGGTTTGACCCCCGACACTCTCTATTGAGTGACGAACTGTGGTTCACCGTTCGAGGGGTGGGAATTAGACGTCGTAAGGCTACGCGAACGAGGGGACAAACTGGTCAGAGAGGTTCGCTAGTGGGAAAGCATGGCCATTTGTTCTTGCAAGGTTGAGAATTGGAGAAATGTGATGTAGGGGAGGAGAGGAGGATTGAGTCAAACGGTCAACGGAAGGCCCAACCTTAGCCCAGCCAAGCTACAACAACCAGCTAGCTAATAAGCTCATCAAAGTGCCTTGTATTCCCACACTTTCTTCATCCGCCATGTGCCGTAGCGCCGTTTTCCACAGTCTTGGGTTTACTCATCTTGGCCTCTTTTCCATCTCACCTCTCGTCGCAAACTACCTACCTTACTCTCTTGTGTTTGACCCACCAGTTTAGTGAACAATTTGATAATCTCATCATCGTCGCGAATCAAATATCTTCCAGTCTCGACAACTCTGCTTCCAGCCTCACAACATACCATCCCACGCCGAGCACAGGTCACCACCGCGAATGGCGGCCATGCGAGACCCCGAACTCGACGATGTGCCTCCTCCGCCGTACTCCGAGACAGACATCTACTCAAACTCTGGCCGGCCGTCAAATCCGCCCTCAAGCTCACCACACATCTCGTCTCATCATGGCGCCGACGACACTGCCTCGCGCGGCTCTTCGCACGCCTCATCGCACAGCGAAGTTATCTACACCCCGCCATTGACACCCCGCACCGGCGGCCCAGGCAGCAGCGGCGGCGGCGGTTTTCACCATCATAGCTCGAATGCGAGCCTCGACCTCTCCAGCCGCTCTCTCGCGGCAACTGGAGGAGGATCTCACCAGTCTCAATCTCTTTCGGGTTCAGTGTCGGCATCAACAACAGCGTACTCTGAGTTTACAGCGTCCTACTTCGAATCTAGGCCGCCGCCCGCGGCACTCGCCTCGTTATCCAGGGACCAGCTTCTCGTTCACGCACTGACCGTCAACCCGACCTCGACACCGGACGACGTACCCTACTCCCCGGCCTGGGCCCTCCGCGACGTCACGCAGCAGGACTGGGCAACGTTTCTCAATTGCCTGATCCCGCACCACGCTGCGGCACGGAACGAGGCCGTCATCGTCCGTAAGCTGCAGGCCGAGGAGGAGGCCCTTGCTGTCGCCGCCGCTGCCAGGTCGAATGGAAGAGGTACAGGGCAGAGCAACAGCGGCGGTAGCGCTCATGCTTCGGCGCAACTAGATCAGATTCGCGCGGACAGGGAGACCGACCCCGGGGCGGCGGCCGTTGCTTCGGGTACAAGGAGAGAGGAAGCAGAAGATGTGGTCGCGCAGTGGAACGAGGGGTTCTTCCGACCCAGGGGCATGCTCATCACGCTGGTACCTGAGGTAGTGGAGGACGATCTGCACATGCCGGGCGCGTGGGACCGGTCCTTTGACAGAAACGCTGAGAATCCTGCTATCGGAGGCGGCAACCGTGACCTTGGTCTCGGTGATGGGAGTGGCAGTGGCGGTCCCACGCCCGTACCTTTCCCAGTGCATCCTGGTCAAGGGCCCGCGATGCAAACCCAGCAGCAACCTCAGTCTGGCTCCAACGAATCACGAAATAGCTGGAGCTTTGGCGGTATCACTGTCTCCACGGATGGTATCAACATTGGCGACCGCATTGTCGCAGGCAGCAACGGTATTCGAGTAGGGAACCTTATTGCGGACGAGAACGGCATCAGATTTGGAAGCACTACCACGCCGCGCGCGCAAGCGCATTATGCCGGCCCCGGGTGGGCTCCTCCTCCGCCGCTTGCACCTCCGGGTCCGCCACCGGCGCCCATGTTTGGCGGGCCCGACCAAGTTCCAGGAACCTTTTTCCCGACGGGGCCGCCTCACCCTCAGCCACCGATCATTCCACATCCGAACCCGCAGCATCCCTTTTACCAAGGCAGCGGCCCAGAACAACAACACGCTCGCCATGAGAGCGGAGATGGCGGGAGAGACGGAGTAGCAGGCCGCGGTCGACCTCCCGGCCGGTACCCCTCAGACCAGCGCTCCATCTCATCCTCCTCCGCCTCTTCTTCATCTTCAGCATCCTCTGCATCCTCCGTCGGCTCACTGCCAGACTACGAAGATCTCTACCCTTCACAGCTTCCCATCTACAAACAGCGTATCACCACTTGGCTATCACACCCAGAACAGCCCGTCACGAAAGACGATATTGCGCAGCTGCGCGAGGACATACGTTCCGCCGGGTCCATAGGGGCGACGCAACCCTCGCAGCAGCCAGAGACAGGACCAGAAGGTGCAGCTACTGCTGCGTCGAAAAAGGCAGAGGAGAAAGCCCTCAGAGCGGAAATTAGAAGCATCACGCAGGACTGGCGCAAACTCAAGCGCCAGCAGCGGGCAACGCGCAAGGAAAAGCGGAAGGAACGCCGCGCGAGGAGGAAAGAGGAGAAGAGGGAGCGGAGGGAGGAGAGGAGGGAAAGCAGGAGGGAGAATAGGGGGGCAAGGCGGGAGCAGAGAGAGGCGCATAGGGAAGCGCGGAGGGGCGGCGGTCGTGGTGGGCTAGGAGGAGATCCTAATCACCATGATCACCAACGTCGGCATCAGCTAGAGCACCAACGGCACCAGCAGCAACAGCACCAGCAACAGCACCAGCACCAGGCGCAACAGAGACAACACCAGGAGCAGCAGAGACGACACCAAGAACAGCAAAGACAACATCAAGAGCAGCAGCGTCGACATAGCCAACAGCAGCAACAACACCAACAGCATCAACAACAGCAGCATCATCAACAAAATTCACAACACCAACAGCATCAGCAACACCAGCAACATCACGGTCCCGGACCGGCGCCGTGGGGCGGGCCGACAGTGTTTGTCCCGCCGATTGGTGTTCATGTTCCCCGGCCCCCCGTGGTACACGGCACTCCTCCGATCCCCAACTTCCCCAATAACACCTCTCCTGTGCCGAATGTTTGGGGCATGCCGTGGGGACCTCCAGGGCCGGGTAGAGGTTCCATGCCGGGTGGTTTCCCAGGTAGTGGTCCTCCTGGTCCTCCTGGTCCTCCTGGTCCTGGTCACTGGGGAGGGTTGCCCGGGGCATGGCCATTCACAGCAGTACCGCCAGCGCCAGCAGCAGGGAACAGAAGCCCCAGCATCGGCGGCGGCGCTGGCATGACCTCTGCCCCATCCACGCCGACGCCGCCCTCGTCCCAGGCGCTTTTCAAGGCGGTGGAGGACATGGAGAAGGACATCGCCAGAAGGGTGGAGGAGCTAGACAAGGCGAGGACCGAGATGCGGGATAACAATCCTGGAAGAGGACGCTGCGGCGGCGGTCGAGGCTGGGGCCGTGGCCGTGGCGGGGGATGCGGCGGAAGAGGCGGCGATGACAATACGCAGCGCCTAGAGGAGGAGATTGACGAGTTGTCGAGGAATATCGAAAAACTCAAGGTCGAGGCGGACGCTGAGTTTGCGCGGGAGTTGGCGGCGGAGGATCAGAAGTCTGGGGTGTGGTAGATAGACCACACACCACCATCTCATAATTATTTACCTACCTTATGAATACGGTATCGGGCATGTGTATAGTCTGTAGAAATAACCAGGAAACTTTTCTTTCCATTATACCGCCACCAATGGCCTCGTCTACTGTCTTTTTTTTGGGTACCTTGCTTTGATGCGCCATAACCCAGTCATGAACATGATCGTATAAAGCTTTTGAACTCCGCTGCGTAGGTCAAGCTCGTACAGACAGTCATTCTCGTCCCAACATTGAGCTCTACATTTCCTTCCGTCTGTCCTTCTGATGGCATGAGAGATTGCAACGAAAATTTCGGAACCACATGGCGGTAACAGTTCGAAGAGCTGCATCATCAGCCTGTCAAGTGCCATCTGCCTTATGCTTTTCCCGCCCACGCCGCGAACAGACGTTTACGCTGTCCCCGAAGGTGAGGAAAGGAGCAAATCTCTTGCCCGCGCGCGGTTTATCACAGCCCCATCACATAGCCATCAGAGCGAGAATCTGGCCAACTGTGCCCCCAGGGAGCTCCACCTTTAGTTCTTACTCTCATTCTTCTCAACAAGCTCCCCAACACCCAACCCGCGACCGACCTTGACCTTGCGCTTCTTATCAGCGGCGGGCGCATTCGGATCGCGCCCGACGTCGCCCACGGCCTCACCCTCGTCTGCGGCTTCACCTGTAGCGGCTTCCTCCTCCTCGCGGTCGCGCTCGTCCTGGATCTGCTCGCGGATGTAGCTCAGGTCGAGCTTCATGCAGTAGGCGTCCTCGCCGTCGGCGTAGTATTTGCTCTCCGTCTTTTCGTTCTTGAAGCCGAGGGTGTCGCGGTAGAGGTGGATGGCGGCCTGGTTGGAGACGCGGACGTGGAGGGAGACGTACTGGGCGCCGAAGGTCTCGACCATGGCGAGTTCTGTGGTAGTGTCAGTCAGTCCGTCCTTTGGTCAATAGCAATGCCGTAGACGGAGCGTCCGCGTAGGAACAGAGGTGTAAACGTACGACTTTGGCGCATCAGCTTCTCGGCGATACCTAGGCGGCGGTGGGTGCGCATGACGCTGAGACTGGTGATGTGGCCGTGGGCGACGCCGTCGGTGGGCTCCTCCTCCATCTTGGCCAGGACGTAGCCGACGATCTTGGGGTAGTCGTAGGGGGTGCGCTTGGGGCGGGAGACGTCGACGGCGACATAGCTGAGCTGGGGCCACGAGAGGGCGTGGTAGAGGTAGTACTTTAGGAAGTAGTTCTCGGGCAGGTTCTCGAGGTTGGCGTGCTGTATGAGGGGGAGGTCGGCGGGCTTGAGGAGGCGGATATCCATGGTGGGCGAGGTTGTGTCTGAGTCGTGGGGGTTGTGAATGGAACGGACGGGTTCGAAATGACGACGTTGGCCGGCTTTGCGTAGAGTAGCGCAAGGCTGAAGAGACGCAGGGTGCGGTGGTGGGTTGATTCGGCGATGGGAGACGCTGAGGAGGGGAATTGTGGTGTAGACTTTTGGAAAGACCCTGGTCGTTGGACCATGAGGTGGCTGCAAGAACCCCACCACCGCCGCACAAGGCTCCGAGCGTCGCTGAAAACTGCCCCGCCAGATGCTCAGCTAAGATACACGAGCTTATTGCAGCTCGAACTGTACTTTTCCGTATTCACAACCGTTGACAGGGCAGGCTCTTCATGTTTCGAGCCTTGAGTTGAACCTTGACATGATCCATTGTCGGATGACTAAGGCTGGTTACCCTCTGTGAAAGTTGCGTTTCTGTAATTTTCCTCAAACTTCAATTCAAGTTGTTTAGGATGGTTCGTGCCATCAATGTGTCTGAACTCCGACCGACTTATGAAATGGGTACTGCTCGCACAGAGATGAGATTGCATCCGCAACGTTCTACTCTCGGTGCGGTTCTCTATTGCTGTCAATTGACTAAAGCACTACTGAAGCACTCGCTCAGAAGACATCCGAATCTACCACATGCGGACCGCCTTTCAGTTTAGTTACATCTCAAGCTTCTCACCATCGTCTAGACCGTCATTTCCTATTCTCAAGACTGGAAGAAGATACTTTAATCACATAATCTATTAAAATATTCTCAAACATACAGAATATCATCTGGGAAGAGATTACTCTTTCATTACTGAAATATTTGAATACGAGCCTCAGGTAAGTGATTGAGGCTTGTGCATGCTTACGGATACCAGGTAGTACTTCTATGCTCAGCTGGAGTACTCTCAGCTCTGCGGTGATAGCAGACTTCGCTTTCATTCCATTCTCATAGCGCTTCTGCATTCCCAAAAATGCACAAGTACACATCATCAGTACAACACGAAGCCCACCAAGAAAGAACCCTCCTGGTCCTCAGACTAACGCTAATCCACGATGATCCACGACCACCAAAAATCGTGGCCCCCTGGGCGGCGTCGAGCCCACGGCCCGGGATTGGCGCGGGAGAATGACGTGGGGGCGTGCCAGGTGTGGGATGCCCACCGACCGCGGGGCACAACAGATGGAAACTCCAGCGCATAGCTCTGCGATAGCGGGGTAGCTTTCACCCAGAAACACCGACTGGAGTTCCCCCATCCATCCGCGTCCCACGACATCTAGACCTGACAAGTTCAGATCCCGCCCAATGGAACGTGCCGGCGGGAACTGCTTCGTCGCTCAACAAGTTTCTGATGGGTCACGAGAGCTGCTAGCATTACTCATTCGGGACAATCGAACCCTGCCCAGATACCTTAGGTAGGGTTTCTGGTCCCTGAGTAAGGTAAGGTAAGGTAAGGTATCCGTACTCCGTAGTCTATGTAGCTTATAAGAACCATCTCTGGGCTCCCGTCCTCTTCTCGTCGTGAACTTTGCCGACCTTGCCTCAGTCTCTCGTCTTCCCTTCCTTGATACCACAACTATCCCCTGCCCTCTTTCTCTACTTTCAACCGCAACCTACTTCGTATTCACAAGGAGCCAGCAACTGGTTAAAGCTCCATCGCAATGTCTCGTTCTCTCGATGGCAAGCTCGGAATCGTGACCGGCGCCTCTCGAGGTAAGGCTTTCAATAAGTATAAGCTCACAACATTATCTAACGCAGATTCACCGTCCAGGCATCGGCGTTGCCATCGCCGAGCACCTCGCCGCCAAAGGCTGCAACCTCATCCTGGGCTACACCTCCCCCTCTTCCCAATCCCCAGCCGAACAACTCGCAACAGACCTGAGCACAAAACACAACATCCAGACCCTCGCGGTTCAAGCCGACATGGGCACGCCCGAAGGACCCCAATCCCTCGTCGCAACCGCAAAAGCCCACTTCGAAAGGCTCAACACCAGCAAGAAATTCCAAATCGACATCCTCATCAACAACGCAGGCGTCGCCCAAAACAACCTCCTCCCCGCCATAACAGTCTCCCAATTCGACGTCTCCTACCGCGTAAACGTCCTCGGCCCTTTGCTCCTAACCCAAGCCGTCCAACCTTACCTGCCCCAAGACCGCTCCGGCCGCATCGTAAACATGTCCTCCGTCAGCTCCTCCGCCGGCTTCCCCGAACAGAGCGTCTACGGCGGCACAAAGGCCGCCCTCGAGGCCATGACGCGCACCTGGGCCCGCGAGCTCAGCGAGAACGCCACCGTCAACGCAATCAACCCGGGCCCCGTGCTCACCGAGATGTACGCGGGCAACACGCCCGAGTTCAAGCGCTTCATCAAGGGCTTCATCGAGCACGCGCCGCTGATGAAGGCCAGGCAGGGGATCGACTCGGACGAGCTGGTCAAGGCGGCTGAGGAGGAGGGCGGGAGGCCGGCGTACGTTGGGGAGATTGCGGGTATTGTGGGCATGCTTGTCTCCGCGGACTCTGCGTGGTGCACGGGACAGGTTGTTTGTGCTAACGGCGGTATGTTTTTCGGGTTGCAGTAGAAGAAGCAGTTTACATAGATGGGACTTCTTACGTTGAATTATGAGGCCGTAAATTTGCGGAGTTTGCTGTGTTAGTTACGAGGTAGACTTAGAATCCAATTCCCCATGTTCCGTTTAGTTAGAATCATCCCCATTTTCGGCCCTTGAGCGATGAATTCTCTTGTCAAAAATACGAAAGTCAATTCATAAGTATTCATCTAACCACGTGTTGCTGGGTAAGAGTTCATCTTTAAAAGTTGAGGGTCGAAACTTATGGGTGTAAACCACTAGCCAAAAAATCCGCTGAGTCAAACTACACAATTTTGCCCCGCCACCATTTCAAAGCACCCCTCCATCAACTCTCAACGTCAATTACCAAGACTCACCGTGACTTACAACCCGAAGAGGCACTCTCAGGCGTTGCATCCCAAAAGAATCCAAGTTTCACCTATTCATCTTTCATAGAAGTCATCGCCCACCATGTCTCTAGACCCCTTTGACGACGTCCTCACCCTCGAAGATCAATTCTTCTCGGAGGGCTTCCGCCAAGGCACCGAAGACGGCATCCAAGCAGGCAAAATCGAGGGCCGCTCCGTCGGCCTCGCAAAGGGCTACGAGAAATTCTACGAGAGCGGCAGGATACACGCCCGCGCCGTCATATGGGCCAATAGACTGTCCCTCCCCCAGAAGAATAACAGCACTACCACCAAAAAGCCGTCCAGTTCTTCAGCGGCTGCCTCAGCCTCGGTTTCAGGCTCGGCCGAGCAAGCCCAACTATCGACAGAGCCGCCATCAGAGTCACAAAACAAGACCTGCTCCCTACCGCCGCTGCCGCCCAACGCGAGACTGGAAAAGAACGTCACGACGGCGTTTGCGCTGGTCGAGCCGGACACGCTCTCCAAGGAGAACAGCGACGACGCCGTCAACGACTTTGACGACAGGTTGAAGAGGGCGCAGGGCAAAGTCAAGATTATCGAGCGCATGACGGGTGAAGTGGTTTCTGCGCCGGAGGCTCCTGCTGCTGCTGGCGATATAAAGGTCCCGGAGACCAAGGAGATTTGAGGGAGTTTTTCTTTTCTTTTCTTGTTGTTTCTTGTCTTATCAAGGAAGACAGCATATGGGGCGGTTTTTGTCGATGGCCGTTTGAGATTTTGAAAACGGCTACATCATGAGAAACGGGGGTGAGGTACCCAACGAACGAATAGAGTAGCACGCAGACCTGCAGAGGTCGATTCTTGGAGACGTGAACGTGAAGAAAAGAAAAACGTTTCAATGGAATCTAGTGCCCTTCATATTTACAATTGTCCCTCCTCTCTCCACACTGTACAGCGAGCCCCGCGGTTTCCAAATTGCTCAAGCAAAAGTCCGGCAAGGGTAGCTGTTCACTCAAGGTTAGCAAAGTTCCTCGTCGTCACCAAACCACACGACGCCCCCCTCTCCCCGAGTAAAAAGAAAAAGAGAGCAGAACGAAATCAAAACTCACCCTTCACCGTAGGTCTGCTCCTCGTTGACCTTGTACTTGTGCACATCCCACTTCCCACTCTTCAAACTCTCACCACTCGGCGTCGGCGGCAACCCATTCGTAAACAGCGCTTCCTTGCTCGCCTCGACGGCGCCCTGCGCGGCGTTCTTCTCGAGGTAAGCCGCGATGCCCGTCGTCTTTCCTTCTTCCTTGGCCGCGACGAGCGCCTTCTCGCCCGCCTCGCCGATGAGCTCGACGCGCGGGTTGGCGGCGGACCCGACGGCCAGCAGGCCGACGACGTCGGCCTGGCTGACGACGCTGATGGCCGGGTAGTTGCGGCGGGCGTCGCGCTTCCAGTACGGGTTGTCGGCGATGTCGCCCGCGGGGACGGTGACGGGGTCGTCGTAGGCCAGGGGGTCGTTGGCGCCCGGTGCCGGGTTGCGGAAGGTCGGGTTCAAGGGCACGCCGGAGGAGCGGTTGGGATCGATGGCCAGGGAGCGGCGGATGCGTTCCCAGATGCCTGTGGACTGGAGGGTGTGCTTCTGTAGGAGAAGGAAGAAGACAAGGTTAGCTACTGTTTGCTCAATTGAGGTCGTTCAATGGTTCGTCGGAGGGGTGGTGGAAATATGGTGGTGGCCGTGATGATTCGTGATGGTGTTTGGATTTCCCTGCTTTTTCGCAGGATCAATTGAGGTTCGTACCTGGGAGATCTCCACGAGACCGCCTGCCGCAGCCTTCGCAATTGCCTTGGAGGCCATCTTTGGCGACGTCTGTAGACGGTGGAGGGGAGATTTGGGGTTGGTGGGTTTCGATTGGCAAACGGTTCGATGACCAGCTTGAGGTTGGTTGTGAGGTTCGGGGGACGGGAGAGAGTGCTCCAGTTTCTGGCAAGGAACCGGAGGGCCGAGGTTTTGCCGGTCGAAGCAATAGCCGTGCTTGAATTTGCAACCCAGCACCACCAGCTCTCGGACCAAAGTATCCACTTCACCACTTCCCCTTGTAAAGCTACATCGCTGGAATTTCCGGGGGGTTCATCGCATCGAATCGGCCGTGGGTCAAGATGGCACGCAATTTCGCAACGCACCGCAGAGCTGTGCATCTCGAATACGCCGACGAGGAATGGAAAAAGGCAATGCACACGCCCAACGCCAGACAATCAATTCCCAGCTACTATACGGATACAAGAAAACCCTGCCTTGCGCTGTTCAGGCCCTCCAATTGCAAACGCATTTTCCGTCACGAAATTATACTTACACTGCAGCAATATGACATAATTACTCGTCCTTCTTCTCATCCTTCTTATCGGCCTCATCGGCAGCATCCTCCTTTTTCTCCTCATCAGCCTTGACCTCTCCATTGGCCGCCTCCTCTTCCTCCTTGGCATCGGCGGCAGGGGCCTCAGTCGCGGCCTCCTCGGCACCGTCGACATCGCCGCCCTCAATCAGCGCCGTGACGACGTCAACGGTGCCCGCGGGGCTACCGGGCTCAGCGATGAGGACCTTGCCGGCCTTGTCGACGACGAAGACGCCGCGCTGGGTGCTCTTGGGCGGCTTCTTCAGGCCAATGGCAGCAATCAAGGTCGCCTTGGGGTCGCAGAGCAGCGGGTAAGGCAGCTTCTGCTTCTCCTTGAAGGTGGTGTTGGCTTTGGGCGAGTCCATAGACAGGCCATAGATGGCGAAACCCGTCTTGGTGAGGGGCTCGTACGAGTCTCTGAAGAGGCAGGCTTGCTTGGTGCCTGGATATCAAAAGCTTGTTAGCATGGTTGGTCGGGCAAGAGGTAGGTATTACCAAGCATCTATCGGTGCAGGGACACACTCACATCCGGGAGTCGAGGCTTTCGGGTAGGTGAAGAGGACGACGCCGGCCTTGCTCTTGTCGACGAGCTCCTTTAGGGTCGTCTTCTCGCCATCGTTGGTCTCAATGTCGCCGCCGAAGCCGTCGAGGTCGATTGTCTCACCCTTAACCGCCTTGACCTTCTTGTCAGAGCCATTGGCGGCGGCGGGCTTCTCGACGGGCTTCTCGGCAACCTTTTCAACAGGCTTTTCGGCGGGCTTCTCGGCTTTGCCCTTGACGGCGCCCTTGACCTTCTCGGCCGCCTTGGCTACCTTGGACGAGGCCTTCTTGGGCGCCGGAGCCGGAGCAGGCTCGGGGGCCTTGCGCTTGCGAAGCTCGACAGGCATGGTGGTATATAGACTCAGCTGGGATATATGCTGTGTATGGTGGGTACAGGTATCCGTATGGAGGTATACAATGGGAAGATCGCAGAGAGTGTGCGACTTGAATAGCGGCGATGCGCTGGTGATGCGATCCAGATGCGATGGGAAAAGAATGCGAAATTGCAAGAGATGGGAGGGGGTTACGGGAATCGAGGGAAGTTGAGAGGTAAACAGGAGGTCGAAGAGGACGTCCTCGAGATGAGCCAATCACAGACGGCCATGGCCAGAGCTTCAGCCGGGACCAGGGGGCTGATGCGATGCAGATGTCCTGCCGTGTTGCGCTGCTGCATTTTGGCGGTGCGGTGCGGTGCGTCGCGGGTGCTGGTGCGGGCGCCCCCAGTCTGTCCCTGTTCAGTGTCTCTTCCCTTCCCACTCACGTCCAGCCTCCCCTCCTCTTTCTGTTTTTCCTTTCTGTCTGGCTCAGCCTAATTATTAAGCTCGGGTCGCCGTGAGCAGCGGTATTATTAGCCGTTGCTGTTTCTGGGGGGTGGTGGTGGTGCCGTGTCAACGTTGTATGGTTGCTCTGCCTTGAAGAGTGCTGGCTCGGAATCTGCGTGTCTGGGTTCCCCCAAACGAGAGCAAGCAAGCATGGTCAGCACTCAGTATGGAGCAAGAAAGAGGTGCAGGTCCATCAGTTCGTGCCTTTCGTGCTCTCGGCTGTTTCCCTGCCGCCCGACCTCTCTTAACCTCCCATCTGCCATTTCCCTCATTCTCAACAGTGAAGAACGTCTTCGCACCCCTGTCCATCGCCCAGTAAGCTTTTCGACCATTGCCCGTGCGTTCCTCGACCCCGAGCTGGCGGTCTTAGTGAAGCTAGCCTCCAAGGGAGCGCACGTTCTGGTGCCCGTCCGGCGTCGGGCTTGCTGTGGGGGGAAACACCAGATGGCTGGGCCTAAAAGCCGATGTCACCGATGTGAGATTAAGTACGCTGTCTCACCTGCCGAGCAACCAGCCGTCATTGACACTTCTGTCTCTTACACACCGTGCTTTGCGTTCATCCTCTTAATCTCTTTGCTACATCTTGCTCCGGTGGCAGTCAGTGGTTCGAGATGCCATCACCGACCTGATGAGGATACAGGTCCAACAATACCTCCTCCAAGATGTGTGAGGCAGGCGGAAGCAGATCCTGGCGTAGGACGCCTTGTGCAGGCGCCTTCCAACACGCATATGCACCTTCTCATATGCCAACATCTTTCTAACTGCAACCTGCAATTCTTATTCGTTGGTTCTGGATTTTCACTCAACTCCGTCTCAAGTGAGGCAACGATCTCTCGAAATCTCATCTGCCCTCCGCTCTGCTAAAGACACCTTACTCTCGTCAGCGAGCACACCCATTCCCTCGTCTTTTTGCAGCCAAACTAGCCTTCTTACTTCATTCCTCAGAGCCCATCCGCCTTTAGTTGCTGTCCCTGAGAAACCACGTCTGTCTGGCTGCAAGTACCGGCCATGTGGCTCATCAACGTCGATACCCTTCAGCTGGAGGAGTTCATCGAGCCAGATTTTCCTTATGCTATCCTCTCTCATACCTGGGCTAGAGAAGAAGTGTCCTTCCAGGAACTCAAAAACCAAAGAGACGACAATGTATGGAGAAAGTCCGGTTACCACAAGATTTACAACACATGCCGAGTGGCCAAATCCCTCGACTTGGGTTACGTATGGGTCGACACTTGCTGCATCGACAAAGCATCCAGCGCTGAGCTATCCGAGGCTATCAACTCAATGTTCCGCTGGTACAACCGGTCATGGATCTGTTTCGCCTACCTCTCAGATGTGAATGACCTGGCTGGCTCGGCCACATTACTCGAAAACTTGAGGGCTTCTCGGTGGTTCACCCGGGGTTGGACTCTTCAAGAGCTGATTGCGCCAAAGGTTGTTACTTTTTACAATGCGTCCTGGCAGCTACTTGGTTCAAAGGATACTTTGTCCCCCTTCTTATCGTCCATCACAGGCATCGACGAGGCCATCCTTATTGGCAAGGCTCCTCTACTCAAGGTCCCCGTTGCAACTCGCATGTCTTGGGCCTCAAAACGCCAGACTACTCGAACCGAAGACTCTGCATATTGCCTACTAGGTATTTTCAATATCAACATGCCTTTGCTGTACGGCGAAGGCGAGAAAGCCTTTGCACGGCTGCAGTCTGAGATTCTGCAAGAGACAAACGACCTGTCTCTACTTGCGTGGACCTCATCGGCCACGGATCCAGAACGACAAGAAGAATACAGCGGGCTGCTTGCAAAGTCACCGTCTAATTTTATTGCATGCTCAAATTTGGAGCTGATCGACGACAAAAGGCTATCCGAAGACTTGGAAGTTGACGTGACCAGGACGAAGTTCTCAATCAATACCGTGCTCTCGTACTTGGATGGTCTCGGACGCAATTCCGGCGCTCGGGATGAAGCAGGATACTTGCTGCCGCTACATTACAGCTTTCTGGATCCAGATTTACCTAAGCCGACATCTTCAAGAATCTACGAAGACGGCAATTTCGTTCCGATCGGCGTCCTGATTGCCAAAACACCCTCCGGTTTTGTACGTCATAAGCCCTGGAGTTTAATCGCAGAATTTTCCTACATAGAAGGTCGTTCAGCACCAAGCCTGCCAGGGATACAGGTATTGAAATCGTGGCTCTACGATGAGAAAGCCAAACCTCTTAAGCTAGTACGTCATTTGACTTCCGAAGCGGCCTTGGAAATGCAGAGTACCAGGTTGAAGAACGCAATATTCGTTTCTGTCGATATCCAGCTCCTGAATGATGGTCCATTCGAGACTCTCCATGCACAACCTAATGCGCTCTGGGATCGCCTGAATCGAGTATTTCTCGATAAAGTCAAGCAGGGAGCAGTTTGCAACAGAACGGAAGCTCGTTTTCTGCACTTCTCTCTTCGTTCGGGCGAAAAAGTCCTCCTCATTTGCGCCATCACCGAGGGCCTCAAATTTAGACCCCGCCAATGCTGGGCAGCTTTGCTGAACTATGAAGAAGATGAAATGGGTAGATGGATGATCGACCAACTTGGCGAGTGGGATGAAACATCAGCTTCGTACAACACTGCCCGACGTATGTTGGTTTTGATCTTAGGGCGAGGCGGATACAAGACTTACCCTTCTCGGCCGGCATTACAACTATGCCCAATAGAGTACTTTGCGACAAGCACGAATCCGGCTTCGCGCACCATTCGGCTGTCTGACGGTACGGAGGAAGAGGTCACAGTCAGCATCGTTCCTCATGACGCAGCCGAAGGCGCCTGCGAGGTCATTGTTTCGTTCAAGAAGGAACCTCAACTATCTCCCGGGAACAGCTCAGATGCCGTTGTCGATTAACAAGATATCTCGGTTAAGCGTGATCCGCCCACCACGACCCGCGGCGAATCTACCATAAACTCCACCCGGGCCTGGGACTTCAACAATAACACGAAGGCAAGATGGCCGAGCGGTCTAAGGCGCTAGCTTCAGGTGCTAGTCAAGTAATTGGCGTGGGTTCGAATCCCACTCTTGTCATGTGAAGCTATCACGCGATTAACCTTTTGGAGTATTTGGGGAAACCTTGGTGTTGAACTTGGATAATTTCCACGATCATCTTCAGCCAATCCTCCCTTTTTCACTCCTTTTTTGGCAGACGCTACAAAAAATCTAGTTGATTTCACGTGTGGGTCCACTCTTATTCCGTTGCTATTGTGAACGCCGCTTTTCTCCGACATATTCGCATCCTTGCAACATCACACTAGATCGATAGAAAAGGTTCGTCTACTTGAAGCTCAATTCAAATGGCGTAGAGTTTTAGTCGAACTACGTATGTCTGTCTCGTCGTGTTTTGTCTTCATAACCTCTCTTTACATGCCTTTGACTTAGGTAAGATAGTTTGGGAGAACAACAACGGCACGTTGTTGTAAGTCAAGCATCGATTAGCCGAGACATCAATTATCAGTCTCTCAACAACGAAAGAGCGTTCACGTTAGAAAACGTGACCATTCTTGGGACTACAGATATCTCGCTTGCCCTGCCAAAGTTCCGTCATTACAAAACTTGTCCCTGAACACAACTGAACGAAACCTAGTCCAACAAGCCCTCCAGCGCAAAGCCAACCTCATATGCCTATAATCACTTCGTTATCCTGGATACATGCATAACCCCACCGGTCCCCAATCCTCTAACCACAATCAGCCCATCCACATCTCATCCATGATCCCACTCACCTCACTTACACACACCCCTTCTCACCCTCGCGAAACCTCAAACCTCACCGCATCCCAAAACACACAATAACATACGTCCTCCGGTCGGGCGATGCTCATAACATGAAGAAGGGAAACCTGACACCAAAGGTAAGGGGGTCAGGAAAAAGACGAAACTTTCCCCCAAATGATGAGAACCTCCTGAACTGACAACACCCCCCTTTCCCCATAGACCATCACGGCCCCTCTAGCCGCCTTCACGATGGCCTGTATCCTCTTCGCGTAAGTCTTACACTTGGGGCCATCTGTCTCAAGGTTCACATGACGATACGTCTTCTTCGGATGTCTGCTGTTCAGAAGGATCGTGAGGTGAAAGCTAATATCGAACCAGATACACCCGCTCATCAATCCGCTCGGCGCGTGATCAGGCCGTACGTCTACCCATATTCCCCCCCCCCCCCCCCCCCCACCCCCCCCCCACCCCCCCTCTCCGGCAGAACAGCCAACCGCTTGCAGAGACCCCCCCCCCCCCACCCCCCTCCACCCCCCCCCCACCCCCTCCCCCCCCCCCCCCCTTTGGAAAATGCTATACAGCAGTGGGAACTTCGGGATGAAGAAACTGACGTTTGTGCAGAGACATCCCCACGGCCCGAGCCATGGACCCGGCAACGGTAGCCCGTCTTGAGGTTCCCAATGCATTGGATCTTGTGAGCGTGGCGCCAAAACCACGCTGTGCTGAACGAACGCAGCGCGGCAAGTTCACCGGATAGACGCAGAGAAAGGCCACATCTCCCA